GCGGCCTGTGTCTGGTTCACTCATTCGATGGCAGTAATAACCGTTCATTTAGCAGCTCTTTGTTCAAAAATAGAAAGTAGCTGAAATATTCAGCATTTTATAGGGGAGGGCCCAAAGAAAATATTTCTAATGCTGGGGTCGATTTTTTTTTTTTAATAAAAGGAAATATAAGATTCAACCCCCTACCCACCCCAAAAGTTTTCATACAGTCCCTCACATGAAATTAATGTGTTGAATTGTTGAAAATAGTGGATTTTCTCTGACTGTTATTTTGTGTATGTGTGTGTGTGTGTGTGTGTGTGTGTGTGTGTGTGTGTGTGTGTGTGTGTGTGTGTGTGTGTGTGTGTGTGTGTGTGTGTGTGTATACTTTGTCTCCCTCTCAGTTCTGGCCATGCATGAGAATGTGCTGAAGTGTCCAACTCCTGGCTGCACCGGACAGGGCCATGTTAACAGCAACCGTAACACACACCGCAGGTATTCATACAGCATACACAGTATAGCATCTGAGTGGATCTGTATTTTGTGTTTGAGTGTGTGTTTTTCTGCAGATGAGAGTGTCATACACAGGATGTGCATTTCCCTTTGTGTATTTGCAAGCTCATATATTCATGAATGCAAGACAGTGAACATGTCAGTCGAGATCAGTGTGATGCAGATTTACATGGTCAGCAACATGCTCTCCTTTTAATATTCACCTTTTTCTCTCCTCCAGTCTTTCTGGATGCCCCATTGCTGCTGCAGAGAAGCTGTCCAAGAGCCACGATAAGCAGCATCTCCCTCAGCCAGGCGCAGAGCACCTGAAAGGAAGTCCCAACGATAGAGTTTTAAGGTGGGTACATGTACATGTACTTTACTTTTCTACCTTATGACATTAGATAAGTATGGAGTTCCAGTTCTGCCAAAATAAAAAAGTTTATCAGATGAGTCAAAAATATAACTCGCTAAATTCATTAGTAGCAGAAAATTGGAATGTTTGATGGGAAAATAGGGAATAAATAAATTATTAAATGTTAAAAAAAATCAAGAAATGTATTGAATGTAACCACTTTTTTTTAGCAACTGATTGGAGGTTAAAGGAAAAGTATAAACACTCAATTTTAATTATTTAACTAATAGTATTAATAAATGGTGTATTCAGTTATGTTTTTGATGCGGGGCTCCATAGATAAAATGGTGAGTGACAAGAACTAAAAGGCACAGGTGAACCTTTCACCTATATAAAAGCTGCCCCCCCCCCAATCCAAGCCCCACACAGCTGAGTCCTTTTCAAGGTTAGCTACTTTACCACTGAGCCACATAGAAACCACAGAGACAATCCTGACCTTGGTTACAGTGGCCCTCGCGAGGCGCGGTGCTGGCCCGTGAATGGCTCAATATAACACCAAAGTCTTGAAGCATCCAGTCTGGCAGTCTAATCATTACTGTCACCTCACACACTGGGATCTCTTTATCTCCATTCATCTCCCCAACAGGCCAGGCACCGTGATCACAGCCAAAAGAATGATAATTAACACAAACCAGACGCTGGTATTATGCTAAGTCTGTGCTCTTCGTCATTGGTATTTTAATTAGTAATGCAGCCGATAAGCTAATTATGCAAGTTATAGGGGCAATGCGGGGGATAGAAAAAATAATTGCTTTCCTTGAGGAAAACCTCATCAGTGGTCAGACAAAGCATCGAGGATTAAAACATAATAAGGCCTGCTTTGTTTTTCCTTCTCACATTGTTATTAAAATTAACTTGGATGTCTGTTATGTATGTGAGAGAAGAATTCCTCATGCAGCCCATGTTCTAATGGAATCCATGTTGAATTAATAAAAAGGAAAAAAAAAAAAAATCGGCTGTGATCAGTGGTAGAAAGTTTATTACTGTCATGAAAATGCTCCTCCACACTGGCTCTGTATGTGTTATTAGTGCCAGTGTGTGAAGGCCACCCCACAGCAGAGTGACTACAGGCCGGGTCATGGAGCTTATTAATGAGTGTATGGTTGGAGACTAGAGACTGTGATGTGGGCTTCAGTGGTACAGGATGCGGGGGAGGGGGGGGGCTTGGCCAAAGGGGGTGGAGGGCTCTGAGATAAGGAGTGATGGTGGTGGTGGTGGTGGGGGGGTTTGAGGAAGGTGACTCCCCACCCCAACCCTGCCTCCCTCCCTATCTCTTTCACCACTCCCCTTTCTGTCTTTCCTCCACTCCTCTCTCCTCTCTCTCTCTCTCTCTCTCTCTCTCTCTCTCTCTCTCTCTCTCTCTCTCTCGTCCCCCACCCTTCCGCCTCTCCCTGGTCTATCAGTGGATTTACGCCAACAGGTCTGACAAAAGCCCAGGCTCTCCAGGAAAACGAGAGGGCTTAAAGCTCATAAATTCCATGCTGTACATCATGCAAATGTGCCCTCTGCTGATAAGAGAGCTTTTAATCCTGCTGCACTCCTGCTAAGTACACCGTTGCCCCTATCTTTACTCTTTCTGTGTCACTCTACCTCCCTCTCTCATTCTCTTATTCTTTTTTTCTCCTCTATGTTTTCTATTTTGATTGCGTGACTCTTTATTGCATCAATACCTTTATTTCCCATCTCTCCTTCTCTATTCTTTTTCATTCTTTTCTATTCTACTTCCCGCCTTATTCTGTCCTTAATCCCCCGCCAAGCCTCACCATGACGCCCTCTCACTCTCCTCCCCGCAGGCCCATGTGCTTTGTGAAGCAGCTGGAGGTGCCCCAGTACGGCAGCTACAGGCCCAACATGGCACCTGCCACGCCTCGCGCCAACCTGGCCAAGGAGCTGGAGAAGTACTCCAAGGTGTCCTTTGATTATGCAAGCTTTGACGCTCAAGTGTTCGGGAAGCGCATGCTTGCTCCAAAGATGCCCACCAGCGAAACCTCACCCAAAGCCTTCAAAAGTAAGACAGGAACATCGGCTTCTGTTTTGGGGTTCCGTTTCGTATCAGGAATATTTTTCAGATTTTCACAACATATTCTACACGAAGGAGAGCTTGACGTTTTTGGAAATATGTTTATTTGTGTCTTGCTGGGAGTTAGATGAGACGATTGACACCACACTCATGTCTGTACGCTTGATATGAAGATACAGTCAGCGGCCGGTTAGCTTCGCTTGGAAACCAGAGGAAACGACTAACCTGGCTGTGTCTGGGAGTCACTTATTTACATATTATTTCTTGGTTGTTTAATCAGTACAAAAAACAACGTGTAAAAAAAATAGGGGGTCATATACTGGTTTCTTGCTTGGTGCAGTGACTTTCTTTCGGAATAAACGAGCAAGATATGACCTGTTAATTACTGACCTTTAGAGGTGCTGGAGGATTTTGTTATCTCCGTACAGAGTCAGGACAGTTGTTTTTCCCCATTTCCATTCTTTATGCTAAGCTAAATTAAATGGTTGCCGGCTATATCTTCATATTTACAATATAGCCGTGAGCTATATCTTCTCTCTTCTCATCTAACTCTCAGCAAGAAAGAAAATAAGCATAATACCCAGAATGTCAAACTATTCCTTCAGAATTCAGCAAGACTCTCTCACAACGAATATTACCCTTTGCTTTAGTATTTTCATTTTCATTTATCTTATATTATTAGTTAGTATTAATTACTTAAATATACTAAACATCTAAGGTTTCACCACCAGAAATCACTTGCATAATGTCAGAAAATATATTTATATTTTTGCTTGCATATATTCCATCCTTTCTGCAGCTAAGCCCTCGTTCCCCAAGTCATCGTCGCCCAGCCTCAGTCTCCACGGTTACGGAAAGAGCTCCACCTTGGCCTATGACTACTCCCATGATGCCGAGGCTGCTCACATGGCTGCCACTGCCATCCTCAACCTGTCCACACGTTGCTGGGAAAAACCAGAGAACCTCAGCACCAAACCCCAAAACAAGGTAAACACACCACACTTATTCATACATATATATATTTTCGTATTAGTTAGCATTCATGGAGGATTGTAATTAAAGACTAAGAGTGCAGGAAATAAATCCATCATGACCAAACATTTGCTTGCAGATGATATGAATCAGTCAGATGTATCTGCAGTTTTATTATGGTAAAGTGTTGCTCTGTTCTTCTCTCCATAGCACTCAGAGAAAGAGATTATTAGCTGATTGTAGTGCAGATTGAAACATTGCAGGCCACAGCTGGTGAGATGAGAGGGGAAAAGCGGTGGGTGTGCCTCTCCTCCTTTCTCCTCTCTTCTCCTCTCCTCTCTTGTCTTTGCTCTTTCTTTTTTTCCTCTCTCCCCATCAACTCTGCATGAATATATCATCAGGAGGCATTGGCTTACAGCAACAGGATGGTGTTGAGATGCAGTTGCATCACCTCTCCCATCCTCTTTCATCCTTTCATCCCTCCATCCCACACACTTTTCATGTTGTTATTGAATTTGGCTAGCTGCCAGTTCCCTGGATTACTTTTCCACCAGGTAGCCCTTTTTCATTATCTGCCGGACGGATCTCTCACTTTCTTCCTCCGCCCCCACCACTCTTTCTTTCATTTTCTTTTCACATCTCTCCTTATTTTCTTTTATCTTCCACTTTTCCTCCCCATGCGAGTGTCACCGTGTCTCTCTGCTTCTCTGTCTATACCTCTCTATCTCTCACTCACTCCCCCTTTTCCCTCTCTGTGCACAGGAGGTGTAATTGGAGCACCACTTTCCCCCATATTGTGATTTTTAAAAGCCTTTTTGCCTCACAGAGGAGAGAAAGTGACTGCTTCATCATTTTTCGATTTCCTGACATGGTTTTAGGGAGATAAAAAGTGAAGATTAATGTCTCTGGCAGCACAGCAGAGCAAGGTGTTGTTCAGCGAGGCACCGATCCAAGAGCAGGCCTTAGCAGCACAGTATTACAGCGTAGAGCAACTGGGGACTGATCTGGAATCAGAATCAGAGCCAGTTGAAATCCAATATTGAAACATTGGAACACTGAGCTCATCAACCAGGGACATTTCTGGGAACTGTTCCCGTCTTCTCTCCTCCTCTTCTAACCCTTTGATTTTTCTGGCCCTTGACCAGCCCATACGAATGCCATTTTAAATGAATGCTGAAAACATGGCTCATCTCACCCCTCTGTTTCTGTTCATCTGCCAGCACTATCATAGAGCGCGGAGAGATCAACCGTGGCGTTGGTGCTGCTGGCAAAGTTTTACCGGAGTACATTAGATATCATTACTAACATGCTTAAGCGGTGAAGGTGGTGATGAACTCGAACATGTAGCACTCTGGAAAAGTGCCGCACACTGCTCTATGACTGTGTAAATGCAGTTCAGTACAGGCTTCAGGGCAGGTGAAGGTGGGCGGGTCGAGATGGGAAGAAATCAGTCATTTCATCGCGTGAAACTTTAGTTTAATCTGAATCTAAATCCATCCCTGAGTGCGGCTGTGGGTTATATGAAGTTACGATTCAGTAAAGTGTAGCGATGTTAATGCATGTGTAGCACTGCAACAGAATCTGTTGAAGAGGGTGATTGGAGTAATCACACTCGTCATCATCATCATCATCATCATCATCAGAGATGGTATACAGTGTATATGAGACTTCTTCTGAAGTGCACCAGAGGAAACTACATTAGTAATTTATATGTGAGAATACTTAATTAGATGTATGTGTATGTATTATATGTATGTTTCTGTATTAATTTTTCCCAGTTACCAACTATATATGGAGACCCAAAGTTTTGAATATTAAATAAATTAATGTTATAAAATAACTAATTGTATTATATAAAAATGAGCCAAAACATATTTAAATAACTCAGTAAATTATTAAAATTTTGAATTCAATTATTTTTGCTTTACTAAGAATGATTTGATTTCCCTCACCTTTTAGCCTAACCTTCACAAGCCTTCACCTGCCTGTCATGGCAGAATGCTAACACGTTTAGCCAGCTAGCTCCTGTTTGCTAAATCAATTATATGGTTTAGTGGTTGGAACTTGTGCTGTGAGGCTATTCCATGATGACAAAAAATGCAAAATAAATAAATGTAAAAAGAAAAAAAAATCATGTTAAATGTCAGAGTGAACACAAGGCAGCACATCCTATCTACCTAGCCAGCTAACCAGCTAACTAGCTAACTAGCCAGTTTGCTAGTGTTAATGGCAGCAGCTAGCCAGTTAATTAAGAGTGATGCTAAAGATATTCTTCAGAGGAACTGACACAAATCTGTAAAGAGAAAGAGGACTGGCATTCTTCATCTTTGACCCCCTGTGCTAGTGAGGATGTCATTATTTAACAAAAACCCATTTTCACATTTTGAAATACAGATTTTCATACTGAAATCCTAAAATAAACATGTCATAATGTGTTGAGACATTGTCAAAATTAATGAATTATTACAATGTTTTTGTTTTTTTTAAATTTCACTTTATGTGTTCATATGTTCAGTCAATGCCTTTTTCACTCATTGAATACTTTGGGACTCTAAAAGTGTGTGTTCAAAAAGACATTTAGCATTTTAGCCCAAGAGGATTAGTTGTATGAAAAGTTGATGATGTTGCGATTCTCTCCAGGAAATGGACATTGAGGTGGATGAGAACGGCACCTTGGACCTGAGCATGAAGAAGCCCTTTAAACGAGAGGGCAGTCTGTCCGCTACCAGTCCCGGGGTTCGCTCCCCAGACCCTTCCTCCTCCTCCTCTTCCTCGCTGCATCACAGCGGAAGTAGCGGGATGACATCACCGAACCTGCCCACCTACAAGCAGGAGGACCTGGAGGGACCTCTGGATTACACCAAACCCAACCGCCAAAGGGAAGAGGAAATGGACGAGGTCAGTACAATCATACTGAGTAGAAAAGTTGAAGCTCCAGACACGCAGTGTTTCCTGTGATATTAGCCACAGAGGAAGTATTGCAACATAAATAACAACAGACAAAATTCCCTCTGAGCTTTTTGAATTAAAAACTCTTAATTGTTTACATCACGTTGTCTTTGTCTAATACCCTTGCCTTATTTCCTGTCCCCTTTTCCTCTTTCTATTATTCATTTATTTCACTGAAATGTGAGAGTTACTGTACAGTTAAAACATTGCACTGTGTAACAGAGGTGGTGTGTCAGGTGCATTGCACCATCCGGGCTTTGGCATATGCAAATTTTTTACTCCTTTGAACTTTTTCAAAAGAAATATAAAGGGCCTTGAATGTAAATTTTTTATGAGGACATTCTGGATTTGGAAACATCACTTGTCTACAAAAGAAGAAAAGGGGATCAGATCAGAGACTTGTACGCACATTGTGGTTTTATAAAGTTTCTATGCTTGTAAACAAATTTGCAAACTGTTGCGAGGAAGCCATCACTCAAAAAAAAAAAAAAAAAGTAAATACAACCCAGACAACAACACACCAACACACGAGTACAATTTAAATAACAAAAGGACACGTTTTTCTGCATTTTTCCAGATGGAGCACACCGGCCAGTCATTTGTCTCATCTGACCCAGAGGACTGTGACATGATGCAGGACTGTCTGGAGGAGAGGAAGTACCCCGGAGAGGTCACAACCCCAAACTTTAAGGTCAAGTTCCAGCCCAAGGACAGCAAGAAAGAGCTGCTCTCGTAAGTAACAACACCCAACAAAACCGTAGAGTCCACACCAGCTGCTCTGTTGTGCTTAGAGCTCAATGCTAACACCAGCATGCTAACATAACATAACAAACTGATGCCTCCTAAAAACCTAATACCCTCTGTCCTTTCTAACTCTGCCTCTGTCTCTGTGTCTTTGTGTGTCTCTCTTTCTCAGGTGTCCAACACCTGGCTGCGATGGCAGCGGTCACATCACTGGAAACTACGCATCCCATCGCAGGTATGCATCCCTGCAGACTTATTTGGGTGACACACTCTGCCAGCACTCACTATATAAACTCTAATATAAAATGTTAGCTCTGCTGAGACTCCTGAGTCCACCTGCGTCCCACCACGACTAATTCAAATATTTTATTTGATCCTGACATGCCAGAGGCAATAACGTAGCGTGAGCCCGGGAAGCAAAGACGGTCATTGACTTTGATATGCATCAGTAATTTACTTCTTGCCGTCTGTCCTCTTCTTCCTAAATGACCTTGGTATGCCTTGCATTCTTGATTTCCCTTCACTCATGTCTTTTTTCCTCTCTCCTTTCAATCTGCTCACACTGGCTTTCCTCGGCCCCTATTTCATCCTTCTCTCCCTCTGCCCGTCCTCTGCTCCTTTTCTCCTTTCTCTCTTTCTCTCAGTCTGTCTGGGTGTCCTCTCGCTGATAAGAGCCTTCGGTCCCTCATGGCGGCCCACACCCCTGAACTCAAGTATGTCTGCTCTACACCTTCACTGCCTTTTCACTGCCACTTCACTGCACTGCTACTGACACCGTCCAACGCCACAATGCTTCATTCTGCTGACGTTAACTTATCTTTTGTTGCTTGCTGCTGCCTCTGCTGCTGCCGCCTGCATCTGTCATGGTGTGTTTTTCTGCAGCTGGCTTGGACTATGCTCGTTCTCACTTCAATCAGTTCATGTAAATGTGAAATGGAACTGTAATTCTGTAGTATATATAGCTCTTTACTAGAAACTAGGCTCTTCACGGCTTATTATGGACAGATACAAGAAGTGTTTAACTGGGAAAGAGCCTGAAAAGATTGGATTTAAAACAAACTTGCAGGAGAGTAAATCAAAAAATGAGCAGAATTAACAAGCGGACCATTTCTCTCATCCGCATAACGCCATTTTCACAAGACAATCCACTATGAAACATCTTATTATTTTTTCTGTTAAATGCTAAACACTGCTGTTCTCTTTCTCAGATGCCCCACTCCAGGATGTGACGGCTCAGGTCACATCACAGGAAACTACGCCTCCCACAGAAGGTAACAAACAGAAAACACATGCACACACACAGAAACGCACATACACACATGGACACACATGCACACAGTCAGTCAGAGAGGCGTAGTGACAGTTCATGGTAGATTTAGACAGGGACTCACACATTTCCACACACATTTCCATGATCCTATTTTCGGCCATATTAGGCGTTTTTTGAGTTGATTTGGTTTGTAATTTGGTAAAAATTATTCTTCCTTTATAATGTTCTCTCCCTTTATTAAGCAATCACTTCACCAGACCTTTTTTCAGCCCTATGTTATCAACTCCATACTTTCTGTTTTCAGTCTCTCTGGGTGCCCGCGTGCCAAGAAAAGTGGAATTAAAACTCCTACCAAGGACAACCAGGAGGACTCCGAGCTTTTAAAGTTCGTACCGCTCAGAAAGCCATAATGTCTGCTTTTAGCGAGACTGACGGTAAAAAGTAAAATGCAATAAAAAAAGGAAAAAGAGAGAGAGAAGAGAGTCACTGTGAATCATATGCACAGGTAGTGACCTGCCCCCGTAACTGAATCAAACAATCAGGCCCTTACTGATGAGAAATACACTTACTGCAGATACTGATTCTGAATGTAGTTCATGGTAGAGTATCGTAGAGGACATAATCAATACATAAGAAATACATGGGCTTCATATTGCATTTGCACACAAAACAGTTAATTGTTGATAACAACATGTGCTAAACCTTAATAGCTCTTGCATTAGTAATTTTATTCATTGCATAAATAATATGTCAAACCCAGATGTAAGAAAATGAATTTGGCCCAGTAGAGAAAGTGTGTAACTTCAATCTGTATTGTAATATTAATTCTCAACTTTCTCTACACTTTATATCTTTGGATTCTCCTTTGTCTAACCCTTGTGCCTTCTCACTCTCTTTATTTCTTTCCTCGCTGCCTGGCTTCAACACTTCCTCTCCCCTCTCCTGCTGCACAACTCTCCTCGTCTTTTTCCTTGTTTCCTTCCTTTCCTCTGCTCCCTGCAGATGCCCGGTGCCAGGCTGCGACAGCCTGGGTCACATCAGCGGGAAGTACGCCACGCACCGCAGCGCCTACGGGTGTCCGTTGGCGGCCCGCAGACAGAAGGAGGGTCTCCTGAATGGCACACCCTTCAACTGGAAGGCCTTCAAGACAGAGGGGCCGACCTGCCCTACGCCAGGCTGCGACGGCTCCGGACACGCCAACGGAAGCTTCCTCACACACCGCAGGTAAGCTGCATGCAGGCAGTCTAGTGTTGGAAAGTTTAAGGAACTTCCATGTGTGTATTTCCATATCAATTATGTTCATTTAAAGAAATAACTATTCATGGGAATTGGGAATTAGGGAATTCGTACTCGTTACGACAGTTACATGAGAATATCATCTGCACATTAAGTTGCTAGAACCAGGAAATGGTTGGCTTAGTTTAGTTCAAAGAAACAAAAGCTAAAACAAGCTAAACAGGAAGACTCCAGGAAGTCACTGTGTTTGTCCAAGACATAGTTACATGCATGTAGAACCACAACTTGTTGCCTTTGCATTTCTGCCCCTGTACTGGAGAATCAGGTGACGCACAGCATGTTGATTAGTGAGCTTTAGAAATGCTGGTAAGTGTGTTTTTGATCACAGGACCGAGCCAGTCGTTATGCTAACGAAGGCTAAGCTAACTGTCTTCTGGCTCTAGCATCATAGTGTGAATTACGTCGTGTCTACACAGAAAGTGTTTCAGCCATGGTTTTTAGTCACCAATCTCACAGTCTCACAGAACAGATGTGTGGCATGTTGTACACAGACTGCGCAACAGCTTGTGTTTTACTTGTGCTGTACAACCATAAATGCAACCCAAACCCTTTTTTTTTTTTTACACTCTAAGTCTATATTTTCTTGCATTTTGTGTAACTACAGTGACTGTGATGGGTTCTGGCTGCTTCCAAAACACAGGTATCCTACAATCAATACTGTGCCTGAACGCTTCCTGTGTAGACAAACATGGAGCACCAGAGCTGCTGCTGCTCTGCTAACATGCTGCTCTCACTGGTCCTATATGTGTTCAGATGTAATGTTAAGTTTGATAGCTCAGGGTACAGTGTAATCTGTGTGACTGTGTGTTGTTATTAAGAATAGTACAGTGACCCCGCCCCCCCCTCCATGTGTCACTTGTGTCTCCAGCCTCTCAGGATGCCCCAGAGCCTTGTATGCCAAGAAGAAGGCCAAGTTCCCCACAGAGGACTACCTGAGCACCAAGTTCAGAGCCAGTGATGGTGAGATGAAAAAAAAAAATCAGTGTGAATGAGATTCTAAAACACATATAGACCAGACGCTGTTATTTACTACTGTAATATGGCTTCTCCTTTAGTTTTGGACAATGATGAGGACATCAAGCAACTCAACAAAGAGATTAACGACCTCAACGAATCCAACAACGAAATGGAGGCTGACATGGTTAACCTGCAGACTCAGGTGTGTGTCTCTACTTTCGTTTCTTTTTAACCTTTAAATTGCTGATCATGTGTATGATTGGGACAGTTTTGCCAAAGTAAAAGAGTATTTTTCATATGTGAGACTTAAAGTACCAAAGTCAGTCACTTGAGCCTGTAAAGGAACATTTGATTGGTCATTTATTATGCAGAAAAAAATATCAAACATTCTGCCTGTTTATGAAGCTTAATTTAAAAAGAAAAAATTAAGAAAAAAATTACATAATTTTCTGCTTTGAAATTAAATGTTAAATTCAAAAGCAATAAAACCCACCCTTGCTCAGTTAAGTGCATTCAGTTTACTACAGTTTTACTTGGTCTGGTTTGACCAATAGCTTATGGTGGCTAATGTTAAAAAATATTTTTAATTTACAATTTAACAATATCCTGTAATTGTACCGTGTGGCCACAATGGTCAGCAAAAATGATGTAGGCTTTCTTTAAAGGATAAGGCAGGCAGCATTTTATATTTTTCTGTACTGTTAAGAAATCCCATGAAAACAGAAGAACTAACAGCCAGCATGTCTGTGGCTCTGAGCCCCAAGCCCATTGGTTCCCACTGGAGAGCTAAATCCTTAAAAACAACTCACAAATATATAAAGTTTCATTTTCAGAAAAGGCTCAGTTCACAGCTCTACACTGGTTTTTAGCAAACATTGCTAAAATAGGAGAAAGTAGTGCATTTGTTGGGAACCCGCTGACGAATACACATTGGTGGTCTAGTGAGTATTTCTGGCACTGGTGTATAGTGAGGTTGAGGTTACATCTAGACCAATACGACTGTTTTACCTCCATATCAAAAATAATTTCCGTCCATACAATTCATGTACACTGGGCATGTGCAAGCTGGTGTAAACAGGAAGCAGATTGTGTACTCTGCAGTTGGTTAGACCAGAGTAACCCGTCCAGACTACAACGCAACCCCAGAGTTTTCAAACTAAAACAGGACCAGCAGCAAAGTCTTCTGTTTTAGGAAACATTCATCATTGTTTCTCGTCTTTTCATCCAAGCTGTCGACAAAAAATACCTTGTGCCTAAAGTCGTAACACTGGTAGAAATCCTGTTGCCGTGTGTCGCAGATCTCCTCCATGGAGAAGAACCTGAAGAGCATCGAGCACGAGAACAAGATGATAGAGGAGCAGAATGAGGCTCTCTTCATGGAGCTGTCTGGTCTCAGCCGCGCCCTGATCCGCAGCCTGGCTAATATACGCCTGCCGCACATGGTGAGTTATTCTCTACACACACACAAACACACACACACACACACACCCACCCACACCTGCAGAGCTGGACCCGCTCACTGTAATGTATTTGTTTTTGAGGTGAATCTTGTGTGTTGAAAGGCGTGTAGGCGTTTGTTTCCCTGCTCTTCTCAGTTGAGATTGGTTGTCGTTTGCACCACAGCAGGAGCCAATCACCGAGCAGAACTTCGACAGCTATGTGAGCACCCTGACCGACATGTACACCAACAAGGACTGCTTCCAGAGCCCCGAGAACAAGGCTCTGCTGGAGAGCATCAACAAGGCTGTGAAGGGCATCAAAGTCCGAGGCTCCATACACACACACACACACACACACATGCACACACACACATGCACACAAACACACACACACACACACACACACACATGGAGAAAACGCAAACTGTCCTGAAGCGCAGGAGTGTGACGGAGGTGAAGATGGAGGGACGGAGAGATGAAAGAGAGATGTTGAAATACTCTACAATATATTGAAATATGATTCAAAAACAAAAAGGGAATTCAGGTTATTTAAATAAACGGCAACTTAAAAAAAAAAAAAACAACCCAGGGAGCACTCTGTGAGAAGAAAAGTGACGCGGACCAAAATCCACACCATGCTGCTGCTGGGATGAGGAGGAGGAAACAGATCCTTCAGTCAGGATGGATGGAAAAGAAGAATAATGTTACCAGAAACTGTATCTGGAGGGGTTTAATATGCTGTATGTTTACCTGTTGTCTCTTTTGTGTCCTTAACTGTTTTTGGAGGTTTCACTGTTGCGCGGTTTGATGGGTTTTCACACTAAAACGTGATCGCTCGCAGGAGCTTGGCGACATGAAGAGGAGGACACGGATGAGCTGAACACGAAGACTCTCAGTTCTTGTCCCGTAGCGTTCACTGTGGCGAGTGTGTGTGCGTTCGCTGGCTCCCCATCCCACACATACACCCCAGCAATATGAAGCATGAACTAAACTGAATTTGTGTTTGCTTTGTGGTATCACTGTGGCAAAGACGTCAACGGCGCAATGCTGACTCGGTTTAGCGGGAGAAAAAAAATTCTTCAAGTTAAGGTCATGAGACAGATCCAGGAAGCGGATATCATGTTTTAAAAAGCAGCAGATAAATCCTTTTTTTCTTTTTTTTTTTTCTTTTTTTTGTAAACTGAGATGATGATAGTAATAGTGTGCACACATTTCAAATTCAGTTAGTCATATCAATAGTATTTATCAACATAGGAATTGCACTTCATTTTAATTAATAGTTTTGTGGTACAATAATTATTGTTATATATGAATTATTTAAACTTGTGAACATTTAAATTGTAACTTATTGCCATTTATGTTATTGAGGTTTATTTATTTGAAGCAATCTATTTATTAACTTGGTTTTGTAACACAAAAAAATGCATCTTTACCGATTATCATGGTCAAAGCGATTTGCAGATGTCTTACGTCAATATTTTAAGAATCTATATAGATGAGTGACAAGGCATATTTTGTTTTGAGTACTTTTTAAAAACCTTTTTAAGTGCAGATGTTTTATAACTGACAAAACTTTTTTGATAATTTTACAAAAGCAAAAGTTATTTTTTTGGGTTGTTCTTGTTTTTTCTCCCTTTTTTTGTTTTATGTTCTTTCTGTTACTGCTACGTTCAGAAACTCACTGATGAGAAAAAAAGAAAGTATGTATTTATTATTTATTTAAAATGAAAGAAATTGACTGATATGGCTGTATATTTATTTTGTTATTTATGTGCGTGATGTGACGGTTGAGTCCGAGTAGTCTTAAAGATCCACTGCTAATATTTAAATAAAGAAGCAAAATCAATACAAATACTGTTTGATTACTTAGGCTTATACCTAGACATACCAGCAGCTGATTGTAAAGACAAAAAATACCCCAACAAAAGCAATCACTGTTCTGTCGCTATCTGGTCTCTGTGTGTTTGCTTTTGTCAGGTGAAAGAAAACCAAGAAATGTAAAAAAAAACAAAACAAAACAAAAAAAAAAACAAAACAAAACAAAACATAGAGTTCAGAAATGTTACCTCTCCCAAGCGCTTTGTAGCGGCCACGACTGGCTCACCCAAAACCTCTGTAATGTACCAGAGATGCTTAAGTAATGCTTTTTTTTTTTCTTATTTGTTATTTTCATCAGTACAATGGTACATATATAGAGCTCTCTTCCAGCAGTGTTTTAGGCTGGATGTATGAGTCTAAAACACACACACACACAGAGTGACATATCCAACCCTAGAGGATACTTTAGGATGGCCTCCTTTGACAAACTTCTATCAGATAAACATACACACCCTTGTAGCCTTACTCTAGATTTTAATTTTTTGATGCACAAAGTGCCACTGAGACAAGAAAAAAAAAAAAGAAAAGAGAACTCACTTTCTTTCCTGATTCTTCGCATTTCTGCAATGTAACAATGTCTGGTCCCGGGAAGACCACGGCATCAAGAGAGTGGTGATTGTTTCAGATGCCTTTATTTCTCTGCCAAGATGGCCATAAGTACACTATATATACATTCTGTATAAATAGATTTTAAAGATGCTATATATATGAATATAAACATACATATATTTTTCCAGTGTAATTGTTGACTTGCTCTTCTTGTCTCTTTACCTTATTGGAGGATCACTAGCTGTCTAGAAGAGATGCGATGGGCGTTATCAATAGGAGGCAGTTACACCTTATTTAATATCACTAAGACCTGCTCAACTGTGGCTTTAAACATAACCATTCAGTCAAGCTGAAGGCAAAGTAGGCGTTGTTGATGAAACAGTACAATACTTTGGAAGTGTTTTCATAGGTTTCCTTTTTTTCCTTTCTTATATTCGTCTGTCCTTGATCCAGAAGTGTCAAAAACATCTACTGTATGTTGTACTACTGAATCTGAGAAATGACTGTCAATTTGAAACTTAGATGGTTGGCTCTTTGTTCCTAAGTGTCATGTGAGTTCATGTATATTAAAAAAAAAAAAAGATGACGATGCCTCTGAATAATGTTCTGCACATAGTGTTTGACAACATTGTGCAGTTAATGTATTGTTAATGGTAAGGCCTGCTCGCCACAAGCCCATTCTCTCTAATGTTGAAACAAGCAAGTAGGAGACTGTAGTGTAACCTGCCTTTGAGTGATCCGTCGCAGCTACTGTGGTGTACAGTATGATACCCTTGTGTAACGCTGATGTCAAAGGCATGTTGTAAATGTGCTTTTAGCCAATGTAGAATGAAAACTCCTTTTGTGCACTTTCTAACTGTTGAAAATGCCAGCATTTGAGTCTTGACTTGGGAGAACCCCAGTAGATCACAGGCAATAGCAAGTATTCACCCCCCACTGGAGGGGGGTGCATTACAAAGCATTGTCACACCTGTTTGTTGCTGTTCATATAGAGAAACGACCTGTGTGTTATGTCAGATAGAGACACCTCTTTGATTCAGGGGGTTCAAAAAGCTCGAAAAATGTATTTAAAAAAAAAAGAAAAAAAAAGGAAGAGGTACTTTCTTTTTCCAAACAAAAACCAAAAGAGACTGACAGGAAGCAGAGTTTGGTTCTCAGGTGACCGGGGAGAGCTGCTAAAGCAGAACAGAGCAATGCCATAGGTCAGCCAGTCAGTTGAGGCTAGAGGCGATAGCAGCGGCTGGATCAAGGCCACGTGTGAAATGAGATGAGTGTGTGGGAGTGGGAAATTGATTTGCCAGGCTACACAATCTCCCCCTTGTTTTGGGAGGAGGTGTTTGTTGCATAAATATGTGTCTATCACTCAAAAGAATGTCAAAGCTTTTTATGACTTTTAAACTCACCCACCCCCCACCCCTCCTTCATGTGTTGTGTAACCTTTCCTCAGGAAAGATAGTTTTGACGCATTTGGTTAACAAAGTAGCGTATCCTTCCTCTCTTGAAATGCACGAGAATCCTACCAGAGAGTGTTAAGACTGAATATTCTCCTAACTTATTTGATATGGCATGACCCCTTTTAAACTGCTTGATGAAATTGTCTACTGAGGTATGTAAATGAATAACACTGAGGCCATGAAAGCATAGCGTTTTCAAAAAATGTCAGCTGAGAAAGCAAATGCAGCCTACGGTTGGTTCTGCGCCCACGCACTGTATGTTTTCTTATTTACATAAAAGTACTGAGTGATGGAGTGAGGAGCTTTATTATTCTAAATAGCAAAGAGAAAAAAAAGTAAGAAAGAAGGAAACAGGGCCCAGTTTCCCTGAAGCACCTGGAATGAAAATGAATTTAACATAATGACACTTTCAGGGAAACCAGTCCAGACCAAAATCCAGCTGTGCATTTAAAGAGGGGGAGGGGGGGGGCACACCTTCGCATCCTGGTTTCATCTTAGGTTCAGATGTGAAGAGCAGAGCGGGCACATGTCGACTCATAAGAAAGAAATGTCAAGTTGAGTGGCACTTTTCATCAAGCTGAACAAAACCAAAAGCCCCCACCTCCCACCCCCACACTCCTCCTCTTCCTCCCCCTCCTCCTCCACCGTCTCCCTGCTGTAGTTACGAGCTGTGTGGTCTTATCATGTGTGCCTTTCTCACTCCACTCATTTCAAGATATGGTATGTTTACACTTGGCAAACCTGGTTCAAATACTGCTGAAAACATTTGGTCTGGATCTAGATCTCTTAGTTAATACTTTTAGGGAAGTTGTGGGGGAGGTAATTATGTATAGGGGGGAATTATGTATAGGGAAATAAAATAAATGTGTCTTTTACATGCAGGTAGAGGCCATTTTTTGACAGAGATACAAAACAACAAGCTTTTGTTAGGCTAAAGAAACTGTGATCACACTCTGTCGATTCAGGTGCCAAACTGCATGGACTGTTTCTGTGAAGGAATCTGAAGAACACCATCACCATCATCCCTAGATAATGCATCAGTGTGCAGGGCATTATTTTGAAACAAGTGGAAGTCTCTGTACATATTTGTATTAAGAAGAAACAGTGTTATTGTTGTTGTATTGAAGACAAGTTAAAAATGGTTTAAAAAAAAAAAAAATAGTTTGTGACAAAGAAAAAAAAATCCACAGCCAAGGGTTGTCCTGCTAGCACATTTTTACAGAGATGAGCTATTTTTACTGGTGATTTTCTAGGCATTGATATTGATATCCTTTTAAGAAAGTACAAAACTTCCAAAATTACAAGCACTTCCACAAGGATAGATTGTAAGGTAATTTTTGTTACTTTTGTAGATGTGGCCGTTCCTTTGCTACTGCACCATTTTGTAAAGTGGGACAGGCCTTGGCTGTGTGTCCTCGGGGTTTTATGTTTTTTTGTTTTGTTTTGTTTTGTTTTGTTTTTTTTTTTCTTTTTTCTTTTGTTTGGAAAGTAAAACACTGTAGATGGGCTGAATTTGTGACTGTGTGTTTGTGTACTTGTGTACATGTTCCCCTGTTCCTGTGTCAGTGTTATAAACCAGAGAAGTGATGTCAGTTATTGTGGGGGTATGAACCATTTTAAATGTTCTCTATGAAAAACACAAATAAAGAATCATAGACAAGACTGACTCTGT